AAGAGCGCTCACCTGGGCTTCCCCTCACATCTCCATTTTTAACCCTCAAGGGCATAACTTTACATTTATCAGCATAAAACATAATTTGCCACATAGTTGCCCAATTATACAGTGCATTGAGGTCAGTTTGTAAGTTGGAGACATTTTGTAAGGACGTTATTCCACTGCATAGCTTGAGGTCATCTGCAAACACTGAAGTGTTACTTTTAATCCTAGACCCTAGATCATTTATAAATATATTAAAAAGTAAGGGCCCAAACACTGAACCTTGGGGTACAGCACTAAACCCTATACCATTCAGAATGATTCATTAACCACTACTCTCTGAATTTGGTCTTTTAGCTATTTTTCTATCCATTTACAAACTGATTTTTTTCCAAGACTGTAGTCTTTACCTTACACATTGGCCAGATGTGGGGAACTGTAAAATGCTTTTGCAAAATCCAAGTATACTACATCCATAGCCACTCCTCTATCCAAGGTTTTGCTTACCTCCTCATAAAAAGAAAGCGCATGAAAATACAGAAATGGTCAAACAATTCTGGAGTCCATGCGGTCTGTTGCTTATGTTTTTTCAGCAAGAACTCATCTCTGTGGTCTTTAAAATCTCCAGTATCTTCCGGACTATAGAAGTTAAACTAACAGGTCTATAGTTACGTGGTAAAGATTTTGACCCCTTCTTAAAAATAGGCACCACATTGGCCTTACGCCAATCCACTGGTACTATGCCACCCACTGCTCCATGTGTCCATTCACCTCTCTCTCTCCTCTTATTGGTTCACAACAGTGGGAGCCAATGGCTCCCGCTGTTGTCTCAGCGAATGAGAAGAGGGAGTCCCCAGATAGCCGAGACTTCAGTGCACATTGCTGGATTGAGAGGGGGCTTAGGTGAGTATTGGGGGGGGCTGTTGCACACAAGTTTTTTTTACCTTCATGCAGTGGTTTTGTATACTGCAGCCCAGATTCTCCTCTTTTCAAGCCCCCGCCAGCACTCCTGGCCCCTCTCTCCTGTTGCATGCCCCAACAGCAAGCAGCTTACTATGGGGGCACTAGAGCATGCGCACTCCCCAGCCCCTGCTCTGTGTGTCCATTCACATACGGAGCTGCGGCTCAGCCCCACCTCCTCTTCTTATTGGCTCACTGGCTACAATTGACAGCAGCGAGAGCCAATGGCTCCTGCGTCAGCCAAAGAGGAGAGGGAGTCACGGGATAGCTGAGACTCCAGTGCACATCACTGGATCAAGAGGGGGCTTAGGCGAGTATTGGGGGAGATGATGCACAGAGAAGTTTTTTTACCTTCATTCATAGAATACATTAAGGTAAAAAAAAAAAAAAACCTTGAGCCTTTACAACCACTTGAAAGTTGAATGTTTATCTAACATTAAATGAACTCATGTTCTGGTCACTGCTAACCAGATGTTCTTTTATATGAACATTAGTAATAAGCTCTGCATGGTTTGAGATTACCAGGCCCAGCAGAGCATCATTCCTAGTTGGGGCCTCTGAACTGTACCATGGAATTGTCTTGTAATAGGTTTATAAATGTTTTGCCCTTTAACTTTACCTGTAGTGCCATTACTCCAGTCATTTTCTGGGTAGTTTAAATTCCCCATTATTATCACTGGCCCAGCCCTTTCGATCTGTGCAAGGAGCTGAATCTCCACCTCCTCAATAAACACTGGGTGGCTTATAACAAACTCCACTGATCACCTTTGTAATACGCACACCCATGTGCTGTTCCACCCCGTAATGCTTCAGCCTTATCACACTCTCCATCAACCAGGTCCTCTTTTCACACTCGCTTTGAGATCGCTTCTCACATAGAGACAGACACCACCACCTTTCACCCTGTCTCTCTGAAAGAGCATATCCAGGAATATTATTAGCTCAGTCATGTGAAGAATAAAGCCAAGATTCAGCAATACCAATTAAATTATAGTTCTCTACATGCACCAAAACTTCTAACGCACCTAATTGCTTAGCAGACTTCTGGCATTGGTAGAAAAACAAACACTTAAAAAAAAACCTGCAAAATGTGACAAATGAATTATTTTCTTACAAATCGTACCAATTCCAATGGTTTTTTGTAACACAGGAACCATTTTTATCACCTGCCATAGCCATCCCCCCATTTCACCAACCAACAGGGACTGACCCTTGTCTGACCCTTTATAATCCAATTCCCCTCCCCACAAATCTTTGTTTAAATACTCCTCCAACCTTCCCATAAGCCTTTCCTCCAGCACAGCAGACCCCCTTCCATTTAGGTGCAAACCATCATATGTAGTTTGTATCCCAATAAAAAAAAAAAAAAGTCATCCCAGCGCTCTAGAAACCCAAATCCTTCCCTCTTACACCAAGTCATTACCTATGCATTCAGTTCTCTAATCTCCCCCAGTCTTTCCTCTGTTGTGCATGGCACAGACAATATTTCAGAGACTTTCACCTTGGCGGCCCTTCCCTCAACTTGCAGCCTAGTTCTTTAAATTGAGTCTTAAAGAGCCACTACCTTCCATGTATTCGGTCATTGAAATCAACATGGACTAAGACAGCTGTGTTCTGCCCAACCCCTTCCAGTAATTGATCAACCCGGTCCACCACATGCCAAACCCTGGCACCAAGAAGATGGCAAACCACTCTGTTTAGGTGATCCTGGCGACAAATTATTCTGTCAGTCCTTCTGATTATAGAATCCCCTATTACCACCAACTGTCTTGGCCTTCCTGTACTACCCTCACCATCCCACCTAGATGGGATGCTCTCCCGGTTGTTAGGGATAGCAGTGACATCTAGGGCTGTCACCTCTGAGCTTGCCACCCCTACATTTTCACCCAACTTGGCAAATTTGTATGCATGTTCAAACCCAGAGCTGGCCTCCCTTTCCTGTGAGCCCTTACCACTCCCTCAAACTACAGTAACCCATCTTCCTACTTGATAATCCTGACTTACTCCTCCACATCAATCCCATTAACTACCTGCTCATTGAGCAGAAGACCCCTTTCAAGGTTGTCGGTTCTGCCCAGTGCTGCAACTTGCTCCTCCAGATCTCTAATGTGAACTTCCAGAAGGGCAACCCGCTCACATCTGTCGCAGCAGTATCCATCCTGCACACTGCATCTCACAAAACCTTCCACCTTGCTAGAACCTATTTTCACAGTTACAATATTACCGTATTTGCCGGCGTATAAGACGACTTTTTGACCCTTGAAAATCTTCTCAAAAGTCGGGGGTCGTCTTATACGCCGGTACACGTTAGGGGGGCTGCGGCATTAAGTACAGGGGTTTGCAGGGGCTGACGTCTCTTACCTGGATCCAGTCCCACGACGATCCGGTCCAGGAAGCGCGGCGTCTCCTTCAGTTCGGCCACTGGATGTTCGTGCGTGCGGCTGCGCGGCTCCCACCTCCTCACCGGTGATTGGCCGCCAGAACTGTAGCTCAGGAAAGGCACACAGGCGGCCAATCACCGGCGAGGGGGCGGAGCCGAGCGGCCCCGCGAAAATTGAGTGCCGGAGCAGCAGGTAAGTGCTCTGTGTAGAGGTGCTGCTGCAACCACATATGCTGGCTGCAGCAGCACCGTACTACAACAGGGTCAGCAAGTGTCAGTGGGAGGAATAGTGCCCCATCATTGGTGTCACTGATACCAATGATGGGGCACTATTCCTCCCACTGATACCAACGATGGGGCACTATTCCTCCCACTGACACCAACGATGGGGCACTATTCCTCCCCCCCCACTGACACCAACGATGGGGCACTATCCCCCCCCCCCCCACTGACACCAACGATGGGGCACTATCCCCCCCCCCACTGACACCAACGATGGGGCACTATTCCACCCCTCACTGACACCAATGATGGGACACCATTCCTCCCCACTGACACCAATGATGGGGCACCATTCCTCCCACTGACGCCAATGATGGGGCACTATTCCTCCCACTGATGCCAATGATGGGGCACCATTCCTGCCACTGATGCCAATGATGGGGCACCTATTCCCCCCACTGATACCAATGATGGGGCACTATTCCTCCCACTGACATCAATGATGGGGCACTATTCCTCCCACTGACATCAATGATGGGGCACTATTCCTCCCACTGGTGTGCATTGGAAGAGGGGTAGTCTTATACGGCGAGTATAGCCCAAACACTACATTTTAGCAGGAAAAGTAGGGGGGTCGTCTTATACGCCCAGTCGTCTTATACGCCGGCAAATACGGTACTTACAAAGATCAGATATCACTTACAGGTTAGAAGACTCCTGTAAAACTCTGGTTTTAACTCCAATTGATCAAATTCCCACTTTATCAAAAAAGGTGCAGCAAGCAAAATACAGGCAAGTTCAGAGTGAGTTCTACAGAAACTTATTGTACCTAGAGCACCTGTGACCAATTAACCCCTCCCTTTAATTAGCAGACTGAAGGGGAAAAAAATGCTATTTAAAAAAGATGACAGAAAAGGGGATTTAAAGACCTCAAAGAAGAAAATAAAACAACTACAACCAATCACCAGTACTCTAAAGAAATTGTTTCACTCTCCACTCAAAATTTCCCACTCTTCAGCTTCCAGCCAGCAAAATGTTGCAGATGTGGGCCATTGACTGACTACGTTTTGCTTCTTTACACATATACAGGCCTTTGAAGTATGCTCAGGTCCAGTGAGCTGAGTTTGAACATAGCTACAGGTCTATAAGATAGCTCTAAATTAGCCTCTTCCAGAATGAGCACAATCTGAACAACTGATACTTCAAGAGCCAGCATATAAAAGGGTTAAAGTAATTACAGTCAACAAAGTGCATTTTTTCATCCCACATTACAAAACTAGGCAGAAAAGATACAGAAAGGTATTGCCAACATATTGCTGACATGTCATGTGATTTGTTGAGAAAGAGAGCTCATTTTTAAATGCAAAGTTACAAAATGGATGGATTTGCAAATTCTTCCAAGCACTCATTGTGAAATTTTTTCTGCAATCTCCAGTCGGTTGGGGTGTCCCACCTGCATGTTATGTGCAATCTCCTCCCGGTCTGATAAGATCTCAGCCAGGTTCTTCGTGCCCAGGACATTGCGGAGGGTGGTCTGCGCTAGAAGTCTGGTGGCTGAATCTGCGTTTGTGATGTTCGCTACAGCCAAGGTGGCGTCCTGTACCCGGTAATAGACTACGCCGTCCACACTGACTGTCACTGAGTCTTTAGTCAAAATCTGAAAGATACAATAAAAATGACAGGATAATTAACATTAAGAGCATCAGATCAGCTTCTAGGATCAAAACAAACAGTCATTCTGAAAGAGAAATGGTGATTATTTTATCACAGCTAATGGCAGGAAATGCTACACAGAACTGAAATCCGCTCCACTTCCATTAGCTAATATCCCACAACATCTGCAGAATCAAAGAATGTAATGAGTGAAATAGATTTCTCTTTCCTTCAACTGATTGCATCTAAATAAAATAAACGCGGTCTTTAAGCAATAAAAAATGTTCAGTTTCAGATTCTGGAGAATAAAATTGACATAGTAGTGGATTTAGAAAAACGTTCACATCAAAGGGTCCAAGTACACATCATTGTATGCAGAGAAGGCAATGTTTTCATTGGAAGGATGCAATCAGCCAAAACGGGCATTTTTTTGCTAATGAAATCTTCAGAACAAATCATCAAACTCAGGGATTTTTTTCAGAAGAAACATGGGGGAAATGCAGTTCCGGCACCTCCAGCACTAAATGTATGTAATGGCAAGGGGTGTTTAGGTGTGCTGGAAGGCCTGTTGATGCTGGGGGATCTTGTTACTGGAGGGGGATCTATTTTTGTGTGGTGGTCTATTGTTGCCAGGGAGGTCTGTTGTTGCTGTTGGGAGATATATTGTTGCTAGAAGGGATCTACTGTTGAGGGAGGGGTCTATTGTTGGCTGCTGGAGAATCTATTGATGCTGGGGGGGGGGGGCTATTGTTGCTGGGGTGGTATTTTATTGCCAGAGTCTATTGTTGCTGGAGGTGAGTGTCTATTGCTACTGGCTGCAGGAAGTCTGTTTTACTGCTTTTCTTGTTATTTTGTGGGATCTGTATTTTGTGGTAGTTTTTATGGAATGTGTTAATAATTGGCTCTGTATTCTTTATAAGGATCTGTACTGAGAGGTGGGTAGGGGGTCAAACCAAGGGACTGTGCTCGGAGATGTGTAGAGGGCAGAGACAAGAAGTAATTCAGAAGGGGGGAGTTCCAGAACCTATTCTGAGAAAAAAAAAAAAAGCCCTGATCAAAATAAATATTTTAAAATTTAGCAATATTCATTGCACTACAGTTAACCAATTTGCTATGTGCTGGTGACAGAGCTATGCTGTCTACAGCCTCAAACTATTACATCTTGATAAATGCGTGGGACTAAAAGTTCTACATGAATGGAGGATGGGCATGAGAATGAAAGGTTTTCCTCCACCATTCATAGGGAACCTATTATTGCAGGAAATGGTAATACAGCCTTTAGGAATGGAACAAGGGATAAAAAGGAAGGGGGGGGTATAGGGTGGGGATTGTTGGCACTTTTGACATTTTATTTTTTTAGAACAATCAAGCCTAAGCTTTAAATCGAATGGTCGAATTTTCAAAATGTCATTTGAGGATCCCAGTGAAACCCAGTAGACTTGCCAGTCTGGGTAATGCCAAAACAATTCTGGGATTCCATTACACAATACTATGGGAATACTTCAGCAATTAATTCATCAGTAATAATTGCTTCACTCAAAAGATCAGGTTGCCAGTTTTACGGTAGGATATACTTCGAGAAGAACAAAATAAGTGCCATCTACAGTTAAAAAAAAAAAATCTGATAATACACTGCTCAAAAAAAACTTAAAGGAACACTTTGAAAACACATCAAATCTCAATGGGGAATATCATGCTGGATATCTGATATGGACTGGGTAATGTGTTAGGAATGTAAAGATGCCCAGTCGTTTGATGGAAATGGGTGTATATGCACAGTGATCTGATAACGCAGCAGTACCATCATTTGACATGTGGTTTTGAGGAAAGCTGGATATCTTGGATTGATATACAAGTGCTGGTTGACCACTCTTAAATTGGGGGTCATATGGTTCTGGTAAGCCTCCCTTTGTTGTACACCAAGGTGCTGTGTGGTTCATCAAAGATGTTTTGGTGGTCATTTCCCTCATAATCAAAGAACCACTGGATTCAAAGTTTTTTGCGTCACATTTGGATTCCTTTATTTTTTCAAATATAGGAGTTTGATATATTTGCATTGCACTATTATATCGCACATACATTTTAATTTATTTTAGCACTGCACTATTGTTTTGTGAACTCAAAATGGTACTCAGTTTATATGGCTCGTGCGTGTATGCATGCCTTACAAACGCCAGGGCATGCTCCTAATAAGACGGCAGATGGCTTTTCCTTCCACATCTGGACCAGGGCATCACCGAGCTCCAAGGGCAGTCTGAGGCGCAACCTGGCGGCATCGGATGGACCGAAACATAATGTTCCAGAGGTGTTCTATTGGATTTAGGTCAGGCGAGCATGGGGGCCAGTCAATGGTACCAATTCCTTCATCCTCCAGAAAATGCCTGCATACTCTCGCCGAATGAGGCCGGGCATTGTCGTGCATCAGGAGGAATCCAGGACCCCCTGCACCAGCGTATGGTCTGACAATGGGTTCAAGGATTTCATCTTGATACCTAATGGCAGTCAGGGTGCCATTGTCTAGCCTGTAGAGGTCTGTGCATCCCTCCACGGATATGCCTCCCCAGACCATCACTGACCCACCACCAAAAGGCAGCATAACATTCTCCATGGCTTCTCCAGACTCTTTCACATGTGCTCAGGGTGAATCTGCTCTCATCTGTGAAAAGCACAGGGCGCCAGTGGCAGACCTGACAATTCTGGTGTTCAATGTCAAATGCCAAAGCAAGCTTTATGGTGCCGGGCAGCAAGCACAGGGCCCACTAGAGGACGCTGGGCCCTCAGGCCCCCCTCATGAAGTCAGTTTCTGATTGTGTGGTCAGAGACATTCATACCAGTAGCCTACTGGAGGTCATTTTGTTGGGCTCTGGCAGTGTTCATTCTGTTCCTCCTTGCACAAAAGGAGCAGATACCAGTCCTGCTGATGGGTTACCTTCTACGGCCCTGTTCAGCTCTGCTAGAGCAACTGCCTGTCTCCTGGAATCTCCATGTTCTTGAGACTGTGCTGGGAGACACAGCAAACCTTCTGGCAGTGGCACGTATGGCTGTGCCATCCTGGAGGCGTTGGACTGCCTGTGCAACCTCTGTAAGGTCCAGGTACAGCCTCATGCTACCAGTAGTGATACTGCCCCTAGCCAAATGCAAAAACTAGTGAAAATTATTCAGAAAAAAGGAGTAGAGAAAAAAAATGTTAGTGGCTTCCACCTGTAACACCATTCCTGTTTTGGGGGTCATCTCATTGTTGCCCATCTAGTGTACCTTTTGCTAAATTTCATTAACATCAAAAGCAGTTGAAACTGATTAACAACCCCCTCTGCTACTTAACTAACCAGATCAATAGCCCAGGAGTTTAATTGACTTGATGCTATACCTCGGATTAAAAAGTGTTCCTTTAAATTTTTATAAGCAGTGAACAAGAGAATAAAACACTTTCTGATTATTAATTTCAAACTTTCTGCATCTTATTGTAGAAGATGACTAATTCATAATTATCACTTTCCCTAAATGGAAAAAAATGAATATAAAAAGATTTTTATTCCTTGAAAGCCCCAAGAAAGATTTGTGGTATCTTTCAATAAGGTCTATAAGGTCTGGCAGATACTGACTGGTCTTGCTATGGGCCACACAAATGCAACATATCTTTTGATCAGGCCAAAACGTGAAAAAAGTCTACGAGATCTACAACAGGGGAACAAATTTTCATTGTCAATACTTTAAGTTGTTTAGTATTCACCATTTTCTGTTGAAATCACCTCCCCCCTTTTGCAATTAGACACCAGCATTTGGCAATTTTATAATAACCCACTTAAATCTACCAAAATGGAATTACCCTTTTCTACTCCATTTTCCAAAGGAAGTTATCTTTCTATAAAACCGGCCCTATCCTGGCGTGGGAGATATTTCTCCAAAACTCTCATACTCGGCCACAATGACTACATGCATTTAACTACTCCTATGCTATATCCCACTGTGTTCACTACTGGGAACTCACACTAAAAATATCCAGATGGTATCTCACCCCATACTGTATAGCACATTATACAAATCGGGAGGTTCTCCTTTGAGTTGGAGAGGCTGTGGCCAAGTGAGTAATCTCTTACATATCTTCTGGTCATGCAAGAATCTATGTATCTTCTGGCAAAGTGTGTTCCGACTCCTCTCCAACGTCACAGGAATACTGACTAAACCTGCACCCGATCTAGCAATCTTACATTTAAGAATTGATGACTTCCCTGTCGTGTTACTTGTTCTAGTCAAACAAGCAGCTAGTAGTATACAAGACATTGGAGGGAAGACAAGGCGCCCAATTTGTCCAAGGTAATTACTATTAATCTATCTACTCTTTTGAGAGACTGTTAGCATGCAGGTCAGACAATATACAATCCTTTGACAATGCTTGGAAATATTGGAAAACTTGATATTTAAAAGGCTAGAGGCACAGATACCCCTGGATTCAGCCTTAACAGTTGAAACATAATATTATTATATGGCTGGATAAATTTATTCTATTTCCATCTACTGATGTATGGTCATGTGTAAGCTCTACGAGGCTACTTTTCCTCGCTTTCCTTTTCTATATATTTACTCCTCTGTTGTTACAGGGGATTGTATTTTTGTATACTTGAAAACTTCAATAACAAGTATTGAAAATAAAAAAAGGTCTACAAAGGTCATTTAAACACAGATAGGAAAACACAGTATGTATATAAAATGTTTTTTTTTTTTTCATTATAACAATTTAGGTCCTAATGCATGAGTATATTTGTATTTCACATAATCACCCACAATAGGGTAAAGGCAGCTCAGCAACATCAAAAACTGGGCTCAGGGCACAGTGCATGGCCAGAGCTCTGTATGACAAGGCAAATTTAATGCTTCATATGAGTGAAAAGTGCTAATATATTTAAAGAAGCAGTTTCTTCCCCTGAAGTTTGATTGACTATGCAGAGGCCAACACTTCATTCCCAGAGCTGTAACATGTCAGTGACTGCAGCAATTTACCTCCTGTGGGGGAATGTCAAATGAGATGGTCCTCATATCCACCTTGATGAAGCTATCAGTGCAGGGAAGCACAAAGAAGAGACCTGAAAATGAGAAATACTTCAGAACATGCAAGAAGATGAAGACAATGGCATAATTCAAGCGATTGTAAATTTTAACAACAGGTTTACACTTATCAGTTTGTACACTGGAACAGCACAGAGCAGCCCTGAACCTCCTCTCTGTTTGTCTGTTTGGGTCCCCCGGTGGCAGTTCTGACTCCTGCTCTCTAGCAAGTAACCCCATAAGAAGCAGATTCCTACGGGACCACTTTATGCTCGCTCATGAGCCTTGCTGTCTGCATCTATAGACACAGACAGCGAGGCTCAGCCCCATCCCTGGCTCCCTCATCACTGGCTTTGATTGAAAGCAGTGGGAGCCAATGGCTCCCATCGCCTCAGCAAAGCCTGTGAGACCAGGAAGTGAGAGTAGTGCTGCAGATGGGCACAGCGCTGGTTCAAATGAGGTCTCGGGTAATTAAAGGAGGGGGTATACTACTATCTAGACATTTTTTTACCTTCAATAATTCAATAAGGTAACAAAGGTTTAGGCTTTATAACCACTTTCAAGAGCAAAATGAATCAGAATCTGAAGACAATGAACAACGAGATCAGTGAGCCATGCAAGTTGAGATGCTGAAAATTGGGTAAAAAAAAAAAAAGCAGAAAACCTAAAGATTTTATTGGCCTTGGAAGGGGAACAGAGAGTGACTCTCCCATCTCCATTCCACAATCTGAATTCCCAGTATAAGCCCAAGACTAAGGTGATCCTACACGATAGAGAGAGATATATTCTCTATCTATCTATATATCCATCTCATTTTGTTTGTTTGTTGGAGATTAACAATGAACGATGGAGCAATTTCAGCACATTCTTCAGTTATGTGGAACTACAGTTTTGGATGGAGAAGCTTTAGAACCTCCATCAGTTTTTATCACTGTTTACATCTACAATTGTAGGATTTTTCCTTGAGGTGTCATGCAGAACATGAAATGAGGGGAAATCTCTTATGTGAAAGGTGTGACAACAAGAAGCAAAAAGGGAAAGATTTCTTAGGGGGACAAAGGCAGCAATGGAAACATTATGTAGCAGTGTGAAAAAGCTTTAGAACCACTGGTAGAATTTTTGCTTGCTCTGCCCCCCATAAGGATCTTTACCCTAGTTTCTTGATATGAGGGAAAATATCCTCAACAGAAATTGTCAGCAACAAAAAAAGCAAAAAGAAGATCTACATTTACATATATTTTAGGTGACCTTATAAGTGACACTTGATACACAGTGCAACCGCAATCTTTTAAAGGTCTTTAATGCAGGATAACCGCATTGTCCACATAGAAGATTAGAGCACACCACCAGCCATCCACTTTGGTAATTGACCCACCAAATTAAAAGCTTCCACTTCTATACAAAGTACAGTTATATCAATGATAATATAAATAAAAAAATGTATTCTCACCCGGACCCTTTGCACCACCACTCACAATACGGCCCAGACGGAAAATGATTGCCCTCTCATACTCCTTCACAACCTAGAAGCAAAAGACACTTATTAAAATACCTCCTACACATTCAGAAGTTTTGCTAATTGCAGCATATGAAGAATGAGGTGTCAGTGTTATTACTAAATTCCTGTTACTTCATGTAATTTATTAATACAGTATATCTTTGGTGGCTAGACACAAATTGAATGTTGCTGGAAACTCTTTACATGGAATCAAGAATGTGGAAACGTTTCTGGAATTTATCACACTTGAGATCTCTAAAATGAGTAGGTGGGGGGGAGAAGTTTGTCTACAATCTGCCAACTTCCTGTTCGGTATCCTGAAAAAAAGGCTGATGGTGAATGACCTTAATTACATTTTCCCTTTATGAGATCTGTAGCAGAATACTGCTATTATGAGTTTTGTCTCCCCTTAGGCTCTCTAAAGCTGGCCATACATTTGTGCCTACTAGACCGGCTGAATTTTGATTACTGTGGGTTCCACCACTTGACAAAAAGTAGATTGTTTCATTGACTTCTGTTAAAGGGACATGTTGGAAAATTTTCTGCCGATTAACAGCTGCAGTCAATGAGCTGCAACTGCTGATCAATGTCGTGATCTGTACACACGCCACTGTCAGGATGCAATGTCCTGGCAGGGAAGAATGTCTCCTCCATCCACCTTGTTTATGTGGCTATAGGAATCCTGTAGCTGCTGACTTTTAATATAGGGACACTGTTAGAAGCTTTCCTTAACCTAATATCTAATATCTTCTTATTAACAGTACTAACATAAGTATGAATGAGTTGGATCTTAATAGAATAATTGAGTTATTATATTTATATTTGTTCTAGATTGGGAAAAGTAAGTAACTAGACTTCATAGTCTGTGAACATACATATGAACATATATCTTGGGTTTTCTTTACATTCAAGTCACACATGTGGTAGCAATTGGTCTATCCATCCTCCCCCCATCTATGTAAGAGATTGTTTCACTAACTAGAGAATTGTAAAAATATATTTCATACATGTTAGGTTTATACTGTAATATTTCTAGATTACGATATTTATATATAAGATAACTCTTAGCAAGATTACTTTTGGAGAATATATATATATATATATATATATATATATATATATATATATATATATATATATATATATATATATGTGTATATGTGTGTGTGTATGTGTAATACATCTAAAATTTACTCTGATTGATGGAATGTCTAGGCCTTCTTAGGTTACGCTCAGACTTTAGGAGAAGTAGACTGGACGTTTGTTATATATACACATCTGTTTCCAATTATCTTAGTGGGACTACAAGAGAATACCAACCCACTTTTAGGAGATGGTGGGGGCTGGATTGCTCTTTCAAGAGCAGAACAAAGGTTTGAGTCTCGCTCACACTTTGCTAGAAGCCTTGAGACACACACACACACATATACATATATACAATCTTATTATCAAGAACTTAACTATATTTTTTGGACATTAGAAATAAAATATTGGCATACAGAATGTTTAAATAATTTTATGCAACATTATTATTAAATCATCTATTTGAGTTTATGCAAGAAGTGGAAGGACTTTCTATCTGAACATTTCTCATCAATACAAGTTAATAAAATATCGAGACAATACGATATTTTACAGACACTTACCTGTCCAGGAGTCTAGCGCCGGCAACACCAGGGCTAGTTCTTCACCAACATCCATTTTCCCGGCGCCGGCAGTGCAAGCAAGGAAAAACTGGAAGTATAGCCTTGCGGCTTCACAGCCAGTTTTCTACTGCACATGTGCTCATTGTAGTGTGCTCTGTAATTGGTCCCATAGTCTTCTGGAACCTGTGAAGTGTTCCAGAAGACTGTGGGGGGGCCCATACTTCTGGCTCAGTTCACCGTGGCGAACGGAGCCATAAATGGGAGCGGGTACCTGTCAAAACCAGGTACATGCTCCCCCCCCCCAAAAAAAAGTGCCAAATGTGGTAGTGGAGGGGGAAGGGGGGGGGGTGAGGGTACAAACATGTGGAGTGTCCCCTTTTGGGTGGAGCTCCACTTCAGTACTTCCCTCCAATTATCACTGCTTTTTACAGAGCATAAATGTGATTTTTGGGGGGCTGTGCAGAGTGTAGACATGTAAAATATCGCTGAAGTATTGCCAGGAATGTCTTGCCTTTATACACATCCATATGGAGATCGGAAATGTCAAAATTGTGAAGAAAAACGATATAATGACTAGAAGCCATCCGCAGCATCCGATTGCACCATCAGATTCTCCTCTACCTGTAGAGGAAACAAATGAAGTTAGGACCAGTTCACACATACATGTTATGAGGTGCAGTGTGTATTTACTTGCCTGCTGGGGTGAGTTTCAAGAAATTTGGTATCCTTTGTACTTAAAGAACAGGTAAACCCAACATTTCATATTCCTGATCTGTGCCTGCTGCACCATGCACTTAAATAAAAAAAAAGTATCATTTTCTTTGTATTGCTTCCATTGTGTGAAGCAGCAGCAGGGCTTGCTTAACTAGTTGCCGACTGCCCTGCACCTGGCCAGTTCTGGGAGGGCGTCATATGATGTCCTCCCAGAATGCGCTCTCCTGCACGCACAAGGTGATCTCTGTGATCTCCGGGGGCACGCACAAGGTGATCTCTGTGTCCTACGGACACAGCTGATCACGTGATGCGGTAAGAGGCCAATCAAAGCGTCCTTTTACCACGTGATCAGCCGTGACCAATGACACGCTGTTCACCGGGAAATGCGATTGCCGGTTCTCGGCTACACTTCCCTCACGCTGTCAGAGTGTGAGGAAAGTACTGCTAAGAACTGGCAGTTGTCAGAGCAGGGATCGGCACCGATCATCGGGGCACTGATGATCAGTGCCCAGAAGTGCAACCCTCCAGTTCCATCCACCTGTGCCCATCAGTGCTGCCTCATCAAACGTACATCAGTGAAGGAGAAAAAATTACCTGTTTGCAAAATTTATAATAGAAAACAAAGAAACTTTTTTTTTTTTGTTTATAGCGCAAACACACACACACACACACACACACACACACACACACACACACACACACACACACACACACACACCTGACTTTTAAAATACAGACACTTACCTGTCCCTTGGTCCAGCGGTGTCCTCGCCACAGCTAGTTTCACAAGCAGTCTTCTCTCCCTGGTGCCAACATCTTCAGTGTGGGCACCCGGCTGTGACAGCTTGCGCCTGCACAGCCGGGTGCCCACTGTGCATGTGTAAGAAGCGCTGCACTTTGTGAATGGCCCCGTAGTCTTCTGGAACCGGTCACGTGTCCCAGAAGACTGCGGGGAGGGAGAAAAACTTCCGCTTCTGATCACCTTAGACGATCGCAGCAGAAGTGGGAGTACCTGTCAAATTCGGGTACCCTTAATACTTAATGGGGAGCGGGGAACAAAGGCATAAAGTGGAGCTTCCCCTTTTGGATGGAGCTCCGGTTTAAGTAGAATTCAAGTTTCATCTAATATTCATGTAAAGTTCATCACCTGAAGCTGTAAATATGAGCAAAGCTAGAATCCAGAGCTAAAAAGGGTCATTTTTTTTCTTTTTTTCTCTGGAAACATGCCAATTCCTACAGCCAGTCTGCACCCTGCTGAGCCCCCACCCTACAATAAGATTCCAGTGAGATTAAAAGGCTACTTTTTTTTTTGTTAAAGGGGAGGTTAATACCTGCTTTATGCAATGATATGGCACAGAACAGTCCCTCACCTCCTCTTTGGAGGTCCACTTCTTTCTCCAGCAAGCCTGGTACAAAAAAGGGGGCAAAGTTTTGGAAGGAAGGTTGTCCTGTCCCCAGAATACATTCTCTTCTGAATCAAGATTGACCTATATCAGTAGTCGGCAAGCCGCGGCTCGCGAGCCACATGCGGCTCTTTACAAACTTAAATGCGGCTCTTCTGTGTGCCGGGCGCCCGCTCCCCTCCCTCCTCTCGGGCGGCCGCCCCCCTCCCTCCTCTCGGGCGGCCACCTCAATAGTCAGGACTCAGCAGCTGTCAGGATGTAGGCGGGGCAGCCAGGATGTAGGCGGGGCAGCGTGACGAACTCCTCTCCTCTCACAGTCCGCCCTGAAGACCAGAACGGCGCGGGAACACGGCGAGAAGAACGCGCGGAGCAAAGGTAAGTGAATTTACACAATATGGGGAATGAATTACTATATGGGGGATGAATTACTATATGGGGGATGAATTACTATATGGGGGATGTTTTTCAAAAAATGTGGCTCTCAAAATAAATTTCAATCGTGGTTTTGGCGAGATTTGGCTCAGTTGAAAAAAAGGTTGCCCACCACTGACCTATATAATTATGTTTTGTATTTGATTGTAGTCATGTTTATTTACAGATTAGTTATCTGTTCTTATGCCACCTACTGGCTAAACTTCAGAGCTGTGTTATTTAGCTAGCCAGGATGTGATGTAAAAGGTCATCGCTTCTCCCACAAGACAGGAAGTGAGCTTCAGGAAGTAAAACACCTCATAGGAATCCATGATTCTCTACATGAGAGAAGCAACCAGATTCTCTCTTTCCATCTGAAGGCATCGGAGGTAATTAATGCCCCTTTTTTCCCTGCTATAGGTAGCTAGGATTGAATAGAAGAGGATCTTAGCTATATTGAGTGTCATTTTATCTGTGATGTTTATCGTATAATGATTGTTATCTTTCTTGTTATAGTTTTACCATTTTTCTGCAACGTGTCAATAAAGTACAGTCGAGTTAAAATCATCTATTATTGTGTGCACCGAGAAGGTTATCTGCTTGAATAGCTTCCCATGGACTCCGGGAGTACAGGGAGGGAGTTCAGAACAAAGGTCATTTTACACTGTGTTCCAAATTATTATGCAAATTATATTTCTCATTTACCTAAATAATTGATGTAAATAACAGTCAGCATAATTCCCATGTTATCAACTATTAAGAGTACAATTCACATTTTATTGAACAAACCTCCTAATAAGATTTAAAAAAAAAAAAAAAAAAAAAAAAAAAAAAAAAAAAAAAAAAAAAACACACAATGCACTGTTCCAAATTATTACGCACAGTAAGTTTCAAAGCACTTTATAGGTTGTAAAGAACTGAAAATTGGCATTTGTTGTGTATGCAGCATATTTACTGACATCAAAAGCTATTTCAATCAAACTTTTAACATTTTAAACTTTTTAAAAAATTTTAACAGGTCACGTTACATTTTAACATAGGACCCCTTATTTGATAGCAGCTTCACAAGTCTTGCATCCATTGAACTTGTGGGTTTTTGGACAGTTTCTGCTTGAATTTGTTTGCAAGATGTCAGAATAGCCTCCCAGAGCTGCTGTTTGGATGTAAACTGCCTCCCACCCTCATAGATCTTTTGCTTGAGGATGCTCCAAAAGGTTCTCAATAGAATTGAGGTCAGGGGAGGATGGAGGCCACACCATGACTCTCTCTCCTTTTATCCCCATAGCAGCCATTGATGCAGAGGTATTCTTTGCAGCATAAGATGGTGCATTGTCATGCATGAAGATGATTTTATTACGGAAAGCATAGTTATTCCTTCTGTACCAGGGAAGAAAGTGATCAGTCATAAACTCCACATACTTTGCAGAGGTCATCTTTACACCTTCGGGGACCCTAAAGGGACCGACCAGCTCTATTCCCATGATTCTGGCCCAAAACATAACTCCACCACCGCCTTGCTGACGTCGCAGCCTTGTTGGAACAGGGTGGCCGTCCACCAACCACCCACTACTCTATCCATCTGGACCATCCAGGGTTGCACGGCACTCATCAGTGAACAGGACTGTTTGAAAATTAGTCTTCATGTATTTTTCTGCCCAATGCAGCCATTTCTGCTTGTGAGGATTGGTTATTGGTGGCCGAATAGAAGGTTTATGCACAGTTGCAAGACTCTGGAGGACTCTACACCTTGATCTCTGTGGGACTCCAGAGGCACCAGCAGCTTCAAATATCTGTTTGCTGCTATGTATTGGTATTTTAGCAGCTGCTCTCTTGATCCGATGCATGGATCTGGCAGAAATCTTCCTCAATGTGCCTTTATCTGCACGAACCCGTCTGTGCTCTGAATCAGCCACAAATCTCTTAATAGTGCGATGATCACGCTTAAGTTTTCATGAAATATCTAATGTTTTCATACCTCGTCCAAGGCATTGAACTATTTCACTTTTTTCAGCTGCAGAGAGATCCTTTTTCTTGAAAAATATTGCTTGAAAATGGTGCTCTGCTTAATAATGTGGAACACCCTCCTTTAGTAGCTTTTCCTTAAATTGGGCTCACCTGCCAATCTAATTATCACAGGTGTCCGAGATTGTTTTTCAGTGATCAAAAGAGCCCTGAGACACAATGCCATCCATGGGTTAAACTGTGTCACAAAGATGAAATATTTTGTTTTTGAAATAGAATTTGCATAATAATTTGGAACACTGTGTAGAGATCATTCCTCCCAAACCACAGGAAAAAAAAAACACTTGTTGATGCCAGCGTTTTAGGTCTGCCCTCAAGGTCGACTTCCAGGGAGGAAAGTTTTCTTTAAATATATCTGACAGGGAGGGAGTGAGATAAATACCTAAATACTGGATTTTGATCTGGGTCCAAGCAAAAGGGAAACTGTCCCAAGTGCTCTGCTGTAAACAAACTTACCTTCTGATATTTTGCAGAGATAGGCAACCTTAACCACCTCCCGTCTGACATATACTGCAATGACAGGCGCAAGGCGGTTCTCTCGTTCTGGGATGATGTCATATGAAGACCTCCCATTCTAACCGCGCATGTGCGGCTCCGGGAGCGCGCAGCGATCGGTGGTGCGCTGTGTCCCTCGGACACAGCGGATCACCGATCAACGGAAAGAGCCAAAGATGTTGGCTCGGTGATGTGATCAGCTGTGTCCAATCACAGCTGATTGCATGTAAAAAGGGAAAATGTCGGTTATCGGCATTTCTCTCCTCAAGAGCTGTCACGCTGACAGCTCGAGAGGAGAGCAGAGCCAGTAATCGGCATCCTACAGAGGGGACATGTGCACTGATGATCAGTGTGCCCTGATGATCTGTGTAGCCCCAGCAGTGCCACCTCTCAGTGCTCATCAGTGCCACCTCAGTGCTCATCAGTGCACTTCAATGCCACATATCAGTGCCCATCTGAGGTGCCAGTCAGTGCTGCCTAACAGTGCCACCTATCAGTGCCCAGTGATGCCTGTCAATGCCCATCAGTGCCATCTATCTGTGCAGCCTCATTAGCGCACATCAGTGAAGGAGAAAAATCACTTTACAAAAGTTTAACAAAACGAAGAAAAAAAAAAAGTGTTTTTTGGTTTAAGAAAAAAATAAATAA